GAGATGAGATGGAGAGTGCTGGTCTCAGCAGGTGACAGCAGCCACCAGCAAAGGGCTCTGTCCCCATCACTGCATGGGAGTCACCGGAGCCTCCGGTCCCGCTACAAGACGGATGTGACGGGGGCGATCCTGCGTTCCGTGGGTCCCTGGGGCTGCAGAGCTGCTGGGGCTGGGGGTCAGCAGCACCCCCCTCACACGCATACAGTGCAGCACAAGATGGGGGTGTGGCTGCTGAAATCCCTCAGCTGCAGGTTAAGGGCGTAAAAAAAACTCAGATGATGCAACTTGACCATTTGTTCCTGCAAAAGCGAGAAGAGTCTCGGAGACGGTACCTGATATTTTTGTTGATTATTTTTAGGACTCGTTCACAGCACCTCAGCCACGAATCGGCGAGGGGATGGTGGCTAGGGAAGGGCACTGAGAGCAGGGCTTTGTGTCCGTCCTATGCTTTTTGCCTGTGATTCCCGGACTAAGACTGGAGCATGGCACAAAGAAATGAGTTGCTGTTGTTAATTCAGCTTTATGTGGGCATTCCTTCTGCAAGAAATACTGAGATATCCTTTCCGGGATATTCTTGGTCTGGATTTGTTCCTAACGCTGGTGTAAATCCATGAGAAGAAACCCACGGGCATCAGCCAAGCAAGCCAGCATAAACAAGGGAAGAACTGAGTTATCCCGCTGCTGGTTCATGCCAAAGGCATCGTTCCCAAAACCGAGCCATACGAGTCATTTTTGCAATTTATATCCCAGTGGAATTAGCAGTGAAACATGAGTTTCGCTCTTCCAGCCTGGTTTACACTCACGTTTCAGAGCTCAGCAGACATCCCAAATTCGGGGGACAGGACGGCTTTTTATTTAACACTTAGGCAGTTATTTCTCCCCTCCCCTGCCCCGGTGTTTTCAGGGCCCACAAACTCCCATACTTTCTGTATCTTCCAATAAAAAAAAAAAAACCAACAGCTGAATTGCCGTGGTGCTTTTACAAACCACGTACAGCGCACAGAAGTGTTTTGCCCTTTTACAGTAACTTCATTTAAAGCACAAGCAGCTCATTTATCGCACACTCCTCTCTAGCAAGGCATGGATGAACGCCTCCCAGGACACAACCTGCATCTCCAGACCTCAACTCCTTTTCTCCCTTTCCATATTATCGTCCAAACCCGGCTGTGAGTGCTTCTGCTTCTCCCTGACCCACAGGAGCAAAACCATCTCACTGGAAATAAACTGCTCAGCTCCACGTGAAAGTTGGGAAACTGCATCTGACGCCCTCTCCTGAAAGCAATCACCGGAGAATTAATTTATCGTTAACAAAGAGCGGCCGGCGAGCTGGTCAGTTGATGGCTGCAAAGCCCCTTTGGCCAGTGGTTACCAGCTGGAAGCATTTTCTCTGCTGTGGATTAATTTCATGGATGCTGGCGGATAATAACAACTCAGTTGCTACCAACTTGGGCTGCTTTGCTGTCTTCTTGCTATTTTAAAAAAGCTCTCATTCTTGCCACAAAATGTTGGGAGGTGAAATAAGGGGGGGTAAGAGGGGGAAAGACAAGCCACAGCTCCCAGCATCGCACATGCACAAGCCTGAAGTCCTGTGGCAGCCCGCTCTCCTGGGAGCTTTCTTTGTGCATGAGCAGCAAAACCTCCTTAAAGGAAAGGAAGCAGGAATAATTGTGCGGCCAGAGAAGGGGAGAAAACAATCTGTTGAACTTGCTAAAAAATTTGTGACATCTTAATCGATCCGCACAGAGATGTATTATTGGGGTGTGAACCCATGGACATGAAAACTGACATGTGAAGGAAACGCACTGCTGATTTTCTCTGAGTTAAACCCATCCCAGGCTGAGACAGAGGAGGAGGACAGACGTGGGGAAGGCTGCGAGGTATGTGGACATGGCCAAGCTTGCGGTCTGAGCGAGGCCCGGCTCCAGTACGGAAGTACAACACCCCAGCGAGAGTCAGCAGAAGGTGGCCTGAGCAAGCGTGGCATCCCAACAAGCCCGACTCTGCCAGCACTCGTCCTCCACC